TTATTAGGAGCGATGACGTAAATTGTTACTAGTTGACGGGGTTTATTTTAATAAAGCCCCTCCATTTCTGCGCCTAATACGGATTACGAGTAACACTTTATACGTATAGTACGGTATAACTACATCTATGACATACATGCTACGCTTAATTACGGCTAAAAGTGACAGTAAGAAAATAACTCTAGAAACCGTTTATTCCACTGCTCCAAAACTGTTCCGTTCTTACGGCGTGTGTTTGACTGTTCATCTGTTTGCCCCGCGTGTCTTTTAAGCCCTCCAGCCCTCCTACAGTGTATTATCTATGCGACCAGGCATATCTAGGTGAATCGCATTGGTAACTCTGTTGCAGATTGTAGGTTGTAGGTGGGTATATACGATCCATAAGACGGACAAGGAAAATGAAGCAAAGATTCTCCTCATTAGATGTCAAGGTAACCCTTCACGACATTTGCCATCCTTAACCTCCGTTGAGCATCGCTAACCGATATCCCATTCTCTCGTTTTAGGTCATCGCTCACGAATTATCTAAAAACCTCGTATCGCTTCGGGTCTCTAATATTTATGATCTATCTTCCAAGATTCTCCTCTTCAAACTCGCGAAACCCGAAGACAAGAAACAGCTCCTCATAGATTCTGGCTTCCGATGCCATCTTACCCAATTTGCGCGGACAACTGCCGCCGCTCCCTCCCTCTTCGTCCAGAAGTTGCGCAAGGCCTTGAAAACCCGACGAGTCACCGCCGTTTCGCAAATCGGTACTGATCGCATCATCGAATTCCAGTTCAGTGACGGCCAATACAAGCTATACCTGGAATTCTTTGCCGGAGGCAACGTCATCTTAACAGACAAAGAGCTCAAGATTCTGACGCTGTTACGACATGTTCCCGAGGGGGAAGGTCAGGAGCCGCAGCGCCCAGGTCTTACATATTCCTTAGAAAACAGACTAAACTATGGTGGAGTTCCGGCCCTGACGAAGGAGCGTGTACGAGATGCGCTCCAGACCACTATACAAAAAGCTGCCGTCTCGGCTGCAGCGGGCAAGAAGATAAAGAGGAAACCGGGCGATGAGCTGAGAAGAGGGCTTGCTACCACCATTACAGAACTGCCTCCGATATTAGTCGACCACGCTATGAAAGTCACAGGGTTTGATTCGAGTGTACAGCCATCTACGGTATTGGAAAATGAAGGACTCCTCGATGACCTACTACTGTCGCTTAAGGAAGCCCTCAAGATCGTCCATGGAGTGACTAGTTCCGACACTTGTAAAGGCTATATATTGGCTAAAACAAGACCGGGCCTTGACAATAAACCACCGGAAGGCGCAGATGAAGGTCAGCAGCAAAAGGGTGGCCTATTATACGAGGATTTTCACCCGTTCCTACCTCGCCAATTTGAAGAGGATCCCGCTTATACTGTGCTTACTTTCGAAAACTTCAATATGATGGTAGATGAGTTCTTTTCTTCAGTAGAGGGACGACAGCTAGAGTCGAAGTTGAGCGAGAAGGAAGCCGCCGCTAAGCGCAAATTGGATGCGACCAAAGCCGATCATGCCAAGCGGATCGAGGGCCTTCAAGCAGTTCAGCAACTTAATGTTCGGAAAGCTAGTGCGATCGAAGCTAATGTCGAGAGGGTTCAAGAAGCTATGGATGCGGTGAACGGTCTCATACAACAAGGAATGGACTGGGAAGATATTGGTAAGCTTATCGACAGAGAACGTAAACGGGGCAATCCCGTAGCTTCCATCATCGTACTTCCTCTCAAGCTACACGAAAATACTATCACCGTACTCCTCGGCGAAGCGGAAGAAGAAGAGGAGGAGGATTATGAGGCATCCGACACTGACTCTGTCAGTTCGGATGATAGCGGTTATGCTGGCACGGAGGCATCCGCGCGAAAGGTTCAGGAAACCCGGCTGACAATTGATATTAATCTTGGCATCTCTCCTTTCGCCAATGCAAGAGAATATTATGGAGAGAGAAAGAATGCTGCTGTGAAAGAGCAGAAAACGGTACTGCAATCAGAGACTGCATTGAAAAATGCGGAGCAGAAAATTGCTGCGGAGTTAAAGAAAGGACTAAAGCAGGAAAAGCCAGTCTTGCAACCTATTCGGAAGCAACTCTGGTTCGAGAAGTTCATATGGTTTATCTCGTCCGATGGTTATCTCGTTCTCGGCGGCAAAGATGCCCAGCAAAATGAGATGCTCTATAGACGGTATTTGAAGAAGGGTGACGTCTACGTGCACGCAGACCTCCACGGCGCACCAAGCGTGATCATCAAAAATAGTCCAAGCACACCTGATGCTCCTATACCGCCTTCAACTCTGTCACAAGCCGGGTCTTTGGCAGTCTGTGCCTCATCTGCCTGGGACTCAAAGGCCGGTATGGGTGCGTGGTGGGTGAATGCGGACCAAGTATCAAAATCGGCGCCAACTGGGGAATTCCTTGGTACTGGTAGCTTTATGGTACGAGGGAAAAAGAATTTCTTACCTCCTGCCCAACTGATATTGGGTCTTGGGCTGATGTTTAGGATAAGCGAGGAAAGTAAGGCTAAACATGTTAAGCACCGTCTTTATGATCTCCCGGAAACCCTACCAAACAAGCCAAGTCCAGACGCTACTAGTAGCAATGTCGTATCCGACTTCGCGAAAGAGCCGACCGCAGAACATGATGAGAGTGATTCAGAAGACAGCGCTATAGATATCCAAGAGGATGCCGAAAGGAGAGAAAACCCACTCCAACCTTCAGACAGGAACGACGATGAACAAGAGTCTCAGGAACGGGTTGAAGAAAGTCCGCCTCTTCAAGGAATGAGTAGTTTAACGATCTCTGAGGTACCTGATACTACTCATACAGTGGAGCCTCAAGAACACGAAATTGGTGATGAACAGGAAGAAGATCTAGACGAGGTGGTAACGGAAGCTGATTCCGCACCTGTGACGACGGTAAATAGTTTGCCTCCTGTAACGTCTGGCAAGTCCACACCGCAACCTCAAAAGAAAGGCCAACAGCCTAAGCGAGGTCAAAAGGGTAAAGCTAAGAAGGCCGCTAAATACAAGGACCAAGATGAAGAAGACCGCGCCGCGATTGAAGCTTTGATAGGCGCAGCAGCGGGAAGGCAGAAGGCCGAGGCCGAGGCGAAAGCAAAAGCCGAACGCGAAGCTCAACGAGCGGCTGCGCTTGAACGCCGCCGAGCACAGCACCAGCGTCAGCAACGTGAAACAGCTGAACATGAGGAAGTCCGCAAGATGATGCTCGAAGAGGGTATCGAGACTCTCGACGCCAACGAGGCGGCTAATCTAACCCCTCTCGATGCGCTTGTTGGAACCCCACTCCCTGGCGATGAGATCCTTGATGCGATCGCTGTGTGCGCGCCATATAGCGCGCTTGGCCGCTGTAAGTATAAGGTCAAAATGCAACCTGGTACACAGAAAAAAGGGAAGGCCGTGAAAGAAATCCTGGATGCGTGGAAGGCAGCTTCTACGAAGAAAGGTGTTGTGGACGAGAAGAGCGAGGATAAGGAGAAGATGTGGCCCCGCGAAGTGGACCTTCTCAAGGCCCTCAAACCTGAAGAGGTAGTCAATATTGTGCCAGTTGGGAAACTAAGGGTTATGCTCAGTGGTGGTGCTGGCGGAAGTGGAGGGGACGCAAAGGGAAAAAGTGGAAGCAAGGGTGGTAGTGCAAATCGTGGCAAAAAGCGGTAGAGACGCGATACGATAGGTAGATGACGTGTAGCACCCAATTGATGTATATTCCCATCAGCCCTCGGCGAGAAAGGTAATTACTACCGTCTTCAGTATAGGTAGGCGTCGAGTACGAACCAGAGCCCGAGAGGAGATACTATCAAAGCATCCTTCATCTATACTAACTGACTCGACAGGATAGTATATATATATATATACCTACCTATGCTCCGGAGGCAAAAGTTAGGTACGTAAAAAGGAAGCCATATTTTACTCTCACGTGTCACTTCTAACAATTACTGATTCCAGAACATAAATTATCAATCATATATTAACAAGGGAGATTATTTAACGCTATGCTCACTCTATTATACAGTACCGCGCCATACTCTTTACCGGAGAAGGGGTTTTACGCTACCTGGTACGTCTCTACTACCTCTACGGAGCCTACTTTGGGTATGGAGGGTAAAAAGGGTCTCTCCAGTCGATGTTATTATCGTTGGGGTCAAACTCTGACTCCAGATACCCACTCTGGCCGATATGGCTCTCGAGAAACTGGCGAGCCTCAACAGGAATATTTATAGCTTCCATGACTGGTACCCTGTCCCTTATGATCTGTTCTAAGGCAAACCGATACTGCGCCGGTGTGCTGGTTCTCATGAATTCGGTTATCCGATGGCACACGATCAACCAAGCCATGATGTGCGATGGGTCAAGCGATCCCCCCATTTGTCGGAATTCGAAAACTCCCCTTTGCTTATCTACTTGGAAGAACTTTTGGTCGTGATCTAGATCTTCCTGCTCCATTTCGTATTCAGGGGTCGACTTCGCGCTTTCCCCAACAGCCTTTGCGCCCCGACATTTAATCATCACCTCCGTCTTACGCGACCGGTACCCCGTGCCCACGGCAGCCACGATGGCGTCTATGTCCGTATACTGCCATATCATGGCATGGAAAATGCGACCTGCTAGACTTTCTGTCTGCAGCATCATGTCGATGGGTAGATACGTCCTCGATACTTCCTTTAGCTGCTCTGTGCGCAGAGGACCGTGTAGTGGCACGATCTTGTTGTCGTCGAAGTTATCCGCGCTGGGGCTTGTATGCGCCAGCTTAGCTAGCTGGGAGACGATACGGATAGGTCCGCAGACCTTGTCGTGCGACGCCCCGGTTCGATACCACCGGTTGAAACGCCGTAGGTCGTTGAATACGGCCTCGATGGCAAGGAACGACGATAGCTTCTGGATATCCTTGAGTGTGAGACCGCTGCTGTGCGAGACGGAAATCTGGGTCGTGGCGGGGATCCAGGGCATTTCTCGGTGCACGCGGAAGTTATCACGTACGACTCTACAAATGTCGGTGACCGTTTTTTCGAGCTCCGTAGGCGGCCATTTGAAGGCCATTACCGGTGACGAGATCTTAATAGTCACCCACCCGTATAGTTCCTTGGGGGCTACCCAATTTGGTGGGAAGTTTCTGTAATGCCTGCGTTCCACACAATCCAGGTTCACCTCGTCTATTGCGTAGACAGAGAAGGCTCGATACCGCGGCCTCATGCCGGCTAAGGGGATATGGCGCTTGTCTCGCCTTAGCCGGTATTGTTCTAGATGAAGTAATTCCACAAGGTGTTCCTCGGCATCGCGCCTATCCGTGGGGCCAGGAATACCGGGCATGATAGCCCGATTCATGGCATCTCGGATCTCTTCCCCACTCGCCAGCATTAGGTTTCTGGCGGGTTCCGAGTTGTTGAAATAGCTGTGTATAAGCATACCTAGGCCCTGCCGCGCCGCGTTCTTGGCTAACTCGCTTATAGGCCTTATATTCGAGGCTTGTGACGGACTGTTGCCCGTGATGCCGTGCTCCAAGGGGGGGAGTCCGTGTTCAAGCCGATGCAGATTCTCCATCCTTAGGTCGTGAATGGCTAAGTCCTCGTCCTCGTCCCGATCAATGAAGACCATGTCGGTTTGGGCGTTGAGCACCGCGATAAAACGGTCCACCGTGATCTTCTTGATCCTCTCCGAAGGCATGTAGTCGGTCACGATCTCCTCGGCTTCCCACCGGCGGTCGTGGGGGTGAGGTGGGTCGGCCAGTAGCCCGCCTCTCCTATAAACGGCGATGGGCAGCTCCAGCTGGAAACCTACCGTCCAGTGGCCGTACCGGTCGTCCTTGTAAATCCAGCCCGGGAGATTATTTTCCTTTTCTGGTTGATTAGATGGCGTGGAGGGCCCGCCCTGGTCGCTCGACTTGCCCCCTGTCGAGGTGTTGGAAGCCGACGGTCCGGGTATTACGGGGGGCTCGGGAACATCGGGGTAATCTATTTCCATGGCCGTGCTGTATTCCCTCTGTTCAGACATCCAATCATATACAGATTGGGCATCCGTTCCGGAGTTGCTCTCGTCCAGGGCCTGTCTACGGAGCAATTCCTCGGCCGCGGGACTACGTACGGGCCAGGAGCTCGACGGTGGGTGAGTCTGGTCATACTGCGCGTGCAGCTCGGCCACCTGTCTAAGGGTTTCAGTCCGTATCTCTGCCCAGGGTACACGTTGGAAGTTGTGCATATCTCGCCGCCAGTCCACATTCCGCCAGTCCGCTCTGAGGAGCTCGGCATCCCAGTCATAGATTTGGTTATCCATTGTAGCAATGTAGTTTGCCGTATGTACTTTAGAACTACTGACTTACCTCGTCACGTACTCACCTGTAGTCTATGCGAGGTTTGTATGTATGTTTTCGTTTAACTAACTCGATTGTAAATCAGTCTTTGTAAATGTAATTTTACTTTACTTCTGCTGTTAAGAAGCGACGGAAAATCTAACTGTCACAGGAATGCGTCTGATATAAATACTCTCTATGCAAGGCAGGCCGACAGTAACGACAAAGGCTCTGTTGATGCTCTCGAAGATTGTAAAGATACAATGCAATTGAGTTGTCGGAACGAAAGAGTCTGAATGATCTCAATACGACCCGGTTCTTTTGATCTTTATTATGTTGTTTAGTTACAATAGAATAGGAATTTGTGTTTCGCTATAACACAATTAGATTATTTCAAGTGGCTATAGAATAGGGGGTTCTATAGGTAATCTAAGGAGAGTGAATACGATAGGGGGTTATGGATCTTTAAAGTCTCCTATTCCCTTAGTTATCCATGTTATTTCTTGGCTAGTATTGTTTTGTCTGACCTAGCAAATACTGTTCACAATTATTCCAAGTATTCCTATATGGATTTGCGCTCTTTTATATATACCTGAAAGGTAGGTAGGTTACCAGGGTAGTTTTCCTATGGTCTACTATAGGCACAATGTCCTCGAGTCAAATTTCTTCTTCTATGTTGATTAACCTTTGTTTAAACTAGTATACGAGAGAAGGACGTCTCGATAGCAGCGGAGTCCTAATGGTAAATGAGTTAAGGCTCTTTAATACTTAATATGGGTTAATTAATAACGATAAAAGTGTTTCTTTAGGATCTTGGTCTACCTAGAAATTATCTTTTGATATCCAATTGTTGGATTAGACGATAATCCGTCCCGCACGAGTATATAGATGCGGCTCTTCCGTTGAGCCGCATCTATCTCGATCTTAGAATTATGCATTATTTATACTAGAAGGTTTACCTTATTGCTGCATCGCCCCCTAATCCGTACGTACGTATAAAATGGACTAGACCTTGTCTACCGACATCAATTTACCCAGAAGAAATAATTAACTAATGTGTTCTATAAGAACTAGTAACTACACTAAGTCTTTCTCTTTTCCTTAACCACAACTAGCGGACAATAGGGGGCCATTGCTTTCCTATTATGGAAGGGAAACTACTACCCAAGGCCGAGTGCCCGTGGACGGCATGTGAAGTGTGGGGAGGGTAGTATTGTCAGTTCGGCCTTCCCGGCACCACCGAGAGCGCTTTGGAGATATGTCGATCTGAAGTGTGTAGCAATATTTGGTGACATCTCCGCCCCTGCATGCCCAGGCCGGGAAGATCTCCCGCTTTGGTATCCGGTTATCTCCTCCCGCCGATTCCGACGGCGACGGCCGTTAGATTCCAGATTTGGTATTCTGTATTCTACCAAGATCGGCATAATCAGAACTGGAATCCCGTTCTTCTATCCGGTTTCATGGGTGATGGTAATGCTAGCAATGCTAATGGCAGAGAGTTCTGGGAAGACAACAGTATAATGGACAGTAAACGTGGAAAGCTATATCTATCTACTTCGGTTTGAGTATCCAAAGCCAGTAACTGGATCGCTGATGGCGGTGATTGTTATAATATACCCCTTAACACCGATGATTGATCTGTGATCATCGGCGCTGGTTCTGCGAGTAAATTGTATGTAAACCATGTAAACTCACTAGACTTATCGGATTGATGCCGAACGCACGTGGGAAGTCCGGGAGTCGCCGATTCTATATATGAAAGAGCCATTAAAACCCTGGCCCCCAACCTGATATCGAGCGGTCTAGATGAGTTGATGTTAGGGATATCCGGATTTCTAGACATGTAAGGATATTAATGTATACATGCATTGTAAGCAGCACACATATGAATTAGCTACCAAAACAGCTGCTTTTTCGGACAGCTACCTACCCTTTCTCTTACATAGTAGCATGCCAAACTTGTTTCTGGAAACTTGAGTTACCAACATGCATTCCTTAGCTACGCTGAGTGCAACGTTATGCAAGGTACCCAATGGAAAGGAGCTGTCTCCTGGACGGAAAGCTGACTGAGTGACGTGAGCAATATAGGGATATGAAGGGACGATGAAACGATAATGCATGTAACTGGTTGAATCCTTCGAATAGTCGAGATGCCAAATCTATCGTGAGCACGTGTCTTTCATGCGACAAGATTACCTACGTCTCTCGACGATTGACGATTGATAACTTTAGAATACCTAAGCAAGCGGATTTGCTATGTAGATTTGAAATAGCAAGCAGTGTCTTAGCCAAGATACGATACGAGGTTGAGGAGGTGTGACGAATCTAACAGTTCATACCTTATGCAACGTATTGGAATTTACACTACATTAGTAGAAATTTACACTACATTAGTAGAAACGAGAACCCCGGCTTTTCGACCCAGTTTTCTTAATGTATGTACCCGTCTGCTATCTACGAAAAGGTGTGGCTGATGGAATCAGATGAGGCTGAGTTTGGCCGAGCCTCTCTCTCCAAACAAGCACCCCGAGCTAAGAGCGGGGATGGAGAGGAAAGGGCTAATGGCGGGGCTGGAGGGGTTAGCGTAAGAAACGTGGTCGGGTCAAGCACCAATTATGAAACGTTAGTATGATTAGCTCACCTTAACAGCTAATACAATCGAGTCTCGCTATAACGAATTTTAAAAAACATTAATATATATTTATTATAAAATAAATTTATTATAAAATATAATTTCTTATTTTTAACCTTAATTATATATAAATATATTTAATTTATTAATAAATCTTATATTAAAGGCCTTTTCGAAAAGCGGTATAATCTTTAAGTTTATTAATAAAGTCTTATCTTATAAGCTAAACCAAGCAATTAACTTAATTAGTTAAATCTCGTAAGGCCGCAATGGCCGTTTAACCTTACCGCGCAAAAGGTCATAAGCGCTTAGCACGTGCTTCGCACATGCTTTACACCCGTAACCCCCCGCGCGGCTCGGTAATTATATAAATTATTAATAATTTTAAAAATATAATAAAAATTAATTAAAAATATAATAATATTTATT